GAGGGTACGGCCTCCCATTTACTCAACACTTTGCCATACATAGAGGTAGTTGTGACAGAGGCAATCTTTTCAGACTTAAGGCCCACCTGAACCATGTCACAAGGAACATTGATTAAAAGAGTTTTGAGTATGGAGGGGCTCTGGTTTCCCTTGTTAGATCTAGTGCACCATCTCACCTTTTCAGGAACCACCTGTGAAGGGCTGTGGAAGTTGGAACCCTATATCTTTCACCCTTATTCTCATTTTGAGATTTATCATGGCCAAATAATGGTGAAGCTTTAAATGTTTCAAAATATCCATGATTTCATCAATGTTGGCATTTTCTTCACCAATAGAGACCAATACCTCTTCATACCTTAGTACTAAGACACTACATACCTTAGTAGAGGTTTGCCTAAAAACTATTTGCCTAAGAACTCATACAAGGCAAACACTCACATGGAGGTCAGAAGAAGCAATATAAGACCTCCCAAGGCCTCTGTAAAGAACTTTGGAATTAATTGTATGACATGGTTGACGCTGGCACAGGACCACTCAGTATGCATGCTCATATCAAAGAAGGCACTGTGCTCTATGACCAAAGCAGAATTGCAGTAGCTCAAAAGAAATGTGAGATGTGCAAATTCAGAGACATCTCCACTCCAAATGTTGGACTATTTGTGCCCAATCTGTGGTAGAGTCTTCCAAGCTCATATTGGTCTGATCAGCCACAGTTGGACACACTGTACCTTGACCTCAACATAGTGATGTCATTTTGGTCCTCTTTGAGAACACAGGGCAATAACCAACCAACTTGCCAAGTTTTAAAAAAACTCCATGTGTTGGTTGTCAGACAATAGACTGAGGACCATTCTTGAATTTTTTCCAGCTCATTGTAGGACCTGCCAGATTTGCACTGTGTTGGCATAATGAAGCAGCACAGTAGGATTTTGTTGGAAGGAGGATGAAACACTTAATGCAAAATTATCTTTGTCTCACTCACATTTACCAATGTTGATTTGAAAAAATTATATTCTTCAACACCAGTAATCTGGAATTATGGTTGGTCCTCATATTGATCAGAGTTCTTAAGTCTTTCTAAATTGCTTGTTTTGACAATGGCGTTGCTATTTCCTGTCTCTTTACTTCATTCTGCATCAGTTCATATATTTTGGGACATAGCCAATGTGGGAATTTGTTTTGCTTGACCATTCATGTACATATGTTTAACAAGAATTTTGTTTTTGCTTTTAATGGGAAGCAGAGGGTTGAAAGGAGAAGAAATACGTGTTTGATAATTGAAAAAGAATATTTAAAAAGTCATGTTCCAAGGTAGTTCAACCCAGTAAGTTCATAATGTAAGTACATGTCAGGGGAAAGGGTGAAGAGGAGAAGGGGCAGACATACAGGCTACTGTAAAATTTGCATTTCAGCATCTTTCAAAACTTAATAATAATAATAACTAGCTTTAACATAGCAACTACTACGTACCAGGCACTATGCTAAGCACATTACAAATATCTCATTTGTTCTTCACAGCAACCCTGCAAACTAGGCGCTATTATTGTCCCTTTCTTACAGGTGAAAAAATGAGGCAAACATAATTTAAGTGATTTGCCTGAGATCATACTGCTAGGAATGTCTGGGTCTGGATTTGAACTCAAGTCTTCCTAAATCTGGCCCCCTACTGTGTCACCTAGCCACATCTGAATGTTATCCTCTTACAAAACTCCCAAGGATGAGAAATAATCACAGCTATTGGTGACAGCACAGGTACATCATCATGATGAGATATGAATTTGTTGCAAAGGAAGGGCAGAGTGAAGACCATGATAAATTGTAGTCTCATTTGCTTCACAAATCACAAAGATTAAAAGACCAAACAGTGATGGGCCCCCAACTTAACTAGGGGATCTAAAACATAACAATGCTATCCATACTTTGAGTGGACAACCATAATCTAATTATGAAAGGATATTAAGATCAGCTTGAAAAAAAGAAATTAGATGATGATAGAAGGGCTCTGGACTGCCTGTGGAATGCAGCCAACATTACCTTATGAAGGACCACTCTTCATATCCGTAGGTATACAAAGCGAATTCTTTTTTTTTTTTCTCATCAAGGGTCATAGAATCTCACTGTTGGAAGAGACCCTGAAACAATTCAGTACAACTCCTTCCGCATTTTACAAATGAGGTATTTTAGACCTCTGGGAGGTTAGCTGACTTGCCCACAATCACAAATAAGGGAGATAAAATAGATGACTAGAATTCAAGTCTCCTAGGTTCCTTTCATTAGACCAAGCTGCCTCTTCCACAGAGGCAACATTTGAATTCTATGCTCTTTGTATAATCTCAGGGCAGAATATTTGCATGTGTCTCCCACTCCAAATTCAAAAGCAAACTGTCTTCTTTTTGTCTTTTCTACTGGATGATTTCATTTACCCCAAGTCTATGCTCAATACAACCACTCTTTGATGTTGATTAGTTTCAGTTACTAAAATTCTGTGGGTATGGGTTAAAAAAAAAAGATGCATTTTTTTGAATCTGTGCCTATTTATTGGTATGATTTTCCACTTTGCAAGTTACATTCAAAAACAAAACCTGAACCCCTCATTATAGAGTTATTAGCCTTGGCCACTAGTTGGAACACACAAGTTTTCTTCAAGCCCATGTGTATGATAAGCTTTAATAGGTTGCTCTGTGATTGGTTCTCATTAGCCATATTCAACTGTGTGCTACCCCATGTGTGTTGCTAGGTGACTTAACAGAGGGAAACAGAGGGCTGATTGATGGAGCTGGTTACTCTTAGATAACTACAATATAGACACAGCGTAACATAAAAGCATCCTTGTCACAGCTGCTGTTAGCTTTACCAATATGACCCAAAGTAAATACATTTTTTTTAAAAAAAGTCAAGATTGTATATGCTTTTTCAAACATAGTCTTTATCATGAGTTGTTCACTTCATTCTGTCAGACTTGGATGGAGGGTCTCACGGTTTCTTGTATAAAAAACACCATTTCTAAGAGTGTGTCACTTTGTCTATTTAAATTCTCCCTGGCCCAAAGCCTGGAATGCAGATTCTGTTTCTGAGAGTTACTTTGTTTTCAACAACCTTCAGGGGAGGTGGGGGAAGTTTGTTTTCACAATCATAGAAATCCTCTGTGCTCTAAAGCAGCTTGCAGATTTTACTGAAACAGACCAACTGAAATTTCCCTGGGTAGCTCTATATCACCCTCCTATCCCTTTACCCAGACTAAAAAAAAAACCAACCCCCAAAAACCCAAACAAAAACCCCACAGCTAAATGGCATCTCAATCAATCCTTACAAATCCAAAAATACAGGTTAGTTCATCATTTCTCTTCTTACTATCTTGACATGCTTTCACCATATTAAAAATAAAGCAAAGACATAAAACAAAATACTAACTACTTAGTTTATATTCTATACATGAAAATGTCACGATACTGCATTTCTGTGAGTTTAACTTTGTCTCTACCATTGCTCACCCTCTGCATCTGCTTATATTGATAATATTAGGACCAATAATCATAATAGTTTTTATTGCTTCATTCCAAGTGGTTGCTTTTAAGTGTGGGGAGAGGGGACACACACAAGTGTCTTCAGCATAGTAATTCTTAAGTCACTGGTCCTGACTATGAGCAAGGCATCCATTGGCAAATGGATGTGTAGCTAATATCATTTGGGACACAAAATGGGGGAGACTATGACGGATGAAGACTTATTTATTTGATTCATAAAACTGTTTGACAGGACTCTTGGCCTGAAAGCTGAAAGGTAATCAATAGAAATATGGACTTTATTTTTAGAGGCTCTTTCTAGAGTAAAAAAGTTTCCCTGGATTATTTAAGCATTCTTTGAATCCCACCCTAAGGAAGATACTTTGAAGTTGATACAAGTACCTAGGGAAATTCCTGCGTAATTGCACATACTATTACTATACATATTTTAGGTTAGAGTGCTATGTGTTTTGCTTCTTATAATAATTTCTAGGTGTGGCTTTGGTATCAGAATGCAAGAAAACAAAGTTCTTAAGTGAAGGTTTGATTACTTAATTTTTAAAGGCCTCTGTTCGCCGTACAGTAATGTTGGAAGTCCTTGTTCTCTAATTTCTGAAACTCTTTGATGTAATTGAGGTGGGGTGTTTTTACTTGCATTTGAGGAGCTGCATTGCTTTAATTAGGACCTCTCCAGTAACTTCCTTGTCAGGGCCATTCGCATCATAACACCAGCCACATATTATCATTAGGCAAACTAATTTTGTGATTGTGACTACTGTAATTTTCTGACTTTTTGTTCTTTTCAAGTTTCTTTCCCCTGCCTACCTCTTATTTTAATTACCTGCTCCCTCCCACACAATCATCAGGTTCAAAGCTATTCCTCTTCCATGCCTAGAGAAGCAATTTTCTAATTTCTAAACATCTAAAACTGATGAATTCCCCCCTGAACAGGGTAAGAATCACTATATATGTATATATGTGTATGTATATGTATATGTATATGTTATATATATATAGTGTATGTATGTATAGTATATATAGCATATATATAGTATACATATACATGTGTATGTACATATATATGTGAACTGAAGTGAAACACATGGACAAACTTTAAGTTTTCAATGTAAAAAAAAATTGAAACCACGCCCCCCCCAAAAAACAACAACATGTGCCGGGCCTTTATTTGTAAGGTCTATCAAATTCCAAGTACAGTGGTCAAGTTAATTATTAAGTAAAATCTCTTATCACATGGAAAATTTACAAGGCAGAACAACAGACAACATTTCCTGGCTTCCCACTATAACTCTACTGTTTGACTCTCAGGCTGCCTGTATTCAATGCTAACCATATACATGAGCAGAATGAAGATTTCTAGGTCTGTCACACAGAGGTTGGTTAGAGAGACAAGGCAGACAACTCAGTCATTGTCCTAAGCAAAATTTTTCTGGTCATTGCTATTGATCCTATTCAACAGTTACACCAGAGACTACTTACTGAACACCTTGACCACTGTGGGGGCCTCGAACACATTGTCCTCTGTAACTAGCATGCACACAAATCTCTTTTCATCACTGATCCTCGCATGACTGATGGATAAGGTGTAGTTTTCCGAGAGGCTTAATCTGTCTTTGTATTCAGGTACTTCATCATATTGCACATTTTTTCTTGTAGAGGATCGGAAGGCAATAAATACTGGGCTGCCGTCAGGCTTTTCCTAGAAATTAAAATAAAAATAAGTTTTTTACTTCAGGTTTAAACACAGGCTTATTCAGATATTTCAGAATTAAATCCTGCACAATATAACTTCCTTGGGCGTTTCTTTCTACTAATATTTGCAGTTTGTGTCCAAGAAGAAAAATTTCAGAGGCAAGCCTTTACATAAATTTTGGTTACAGAAAGTTAATATTCATAAGAAAAGCAATTGCAGGTTATTCTCCAGGATTTGGTTTTGCTCATGGGGAAGTGAAAAGACAAATGCTTTAAAAAACTTCAGCTTCCCCTGAATGTGCTGGACAAGAATCAGTGCTCTATTCAGATGGTGACAAGGAATGTCCTTCACTGCAAGGAAACAATGAAAGAAAATAAAACAATATGAACATTTGCACAAAATGAAATTCAAAGGCCCACAGCAGCAAGCATATATTTTGCCTGCAAACTACAAGTTAAAAAGTCCACGCAAATAATATTTGACCCTGACTCTTTTTATCACCATGCTTTAACAGTCTATTGTTCACCCCATGCACCAGATACATATTAAAGATGGATTCTGTTGATGAATATTATTTGTCTTTGTAAGCCAATCATATTAATTAAAAACAAATATTAATGACTAGAAGCCATATATTCATTATCCTAGCCATTACTGCATGCTAAAAGCAACAGTCTAACACTACTTTGGGTAAAACTTGATCAAGAGTTTTCCAAAATGCAAAGTTTTTCTTTTTCTGTTTTTAGGGAGATACTTTCCCCCTCTTATTTACTTATCGTTAAAGGTTACTCTGTATATAGAAGTCTCTCTTCCTATCCCTCCCTGGGTATTAATGGAAGAATCTAATGAGACTTCAAAAAGTGCTTTGAAAAGCATGAAGTGCTATGTGGTGACATTGATGATAAAAATAACTGATTATTACTAAATGAATCCTGAAAAATAGTGGTCTGGGTTTGTCGAGTGGTTTAAATATTTGGATAATATTGGCAAATATCCTTAATTGCCACTCTTTATAGGTTCAATATTTGACTCTGAACCACTGGAAAAGAAGTATGAAAAAAAATCAGCAGGCCCAAATATTTCACTGACTATTGTGTCATTCACTCATTTAATCAATGAATGTTTATTAGGCCTATGATATGTAAGGCACACTGCTAGGCACTGTGGGGATTACCTCCAAAGATGTATAAGCCAAGGTTCATTACCTTACAGAGCTATCACTTGGAAGATTATTCTCTAATGACAGAAAGTCTACTGGCTCTTCCAATGGGTGTTGCTGTTCAGAAGGGGATTCCCAAAGATCATTCATTCAAAAAATTTAACAAATATTTATTGAGTACCTAGCCATAGGCAAAGCACTGTGCTAGGTGCTATTGAGGCATGGAGCGATTCAAGTATGGGCAAGACTCAGTCTCTAATCTCAAAGAATTTATGAGAATCTAATTGGCTCTTTCCTTTAATTTCCCTTTTTTATAATGGTGAAATATATTTATTAGCTATGATAAAAGGCAGCATATTTGAATCACCACATAAATTCACAAAATGTGTTCAGGCATCAAAGGTCTAAACCTTTATGGTATGGTATGGTAATATTTGTTCACTTGTTATTTCTATTCGAGTAGGTGCTTAATAAATGTTTATTGAATTGAATTAAAACAACAACAACAACAACAAGAAGCCCAAGACCTCTAAATCCTGGACCCCAGAATCCAGGTAGCAAAGATTACTGTAGTAGAGATAGTACTGCCTATTGCATTTAGTAGCAATGTTCTAATTAAGTGATGTTTCTTCATTTAGATGTTAAGGTTAACTAGACCCTTCTTGTGGATATCTAATTGGTCCTTTAGGTGATAATGAGTCACACAATAATTGGTGTTTTTCTGAGTGAAAGAATGATGTGTTAGACCTGAGCTTGAGCAATATGAGTCTGTTAAGTGTGTCAGATAGAAAGACTTTACAGAATCATGGAATTTAAGTTAGAAGGTACCTCAGTAGCCATAAGGTACAACCCATACCCAAAAGGAATCTCCACTATGACATACATGAGAAGTGGTCATCAAATATTTGCTTGAAGGTTTCGAAGGAAGAGAACCCAACACCTCTTGAGGCAGTTCATTCCATTCCACTTTGGAAAGCTCTAAATGTTCAAAGGTGTTTTTTTTCCCCTGACATAGAATTTTGCATCTTTACTTCTTTTCTCCTGGTTCTGGCTTCTGGGGTCAAGAAGGGCAAATCTAATCCTTTTCCCACATATTAGGCAGCTATTGTAATAGCCCAGGTCAGAGGTGATGAAGATCTGATCTAGAGAGGTGGCTATGTGAGTGCAGAGAGGAGAACTGATGCAAGTAGAATCCACAAGACTTAGCAACTGAGTGGATATATGGGATGAGGGAGAATGAGTGTTTAACAGTGTTTTGTATGTATACTGTTGGTGTTTAAAAGTGAGGGAAGAGAGAAGGAAGAGAGCAGTGGAAAGAGGGAAGAAGTTAGACAATGGGGGAGAAGTAAAGATAATAAGGTCTCTGACCACATGGAACTCACAATCTAAAGGCTGTATAAAATATAACATACAATAACAGTACAATATTAGAAAATGATGAAACATAAGAAGTACAATAGAAAGAGATGGGAGAGAGGTAAGGGATTCCAGGCATAGGAATTGATATGAATAAAGGCACAGAAATAGGAAAACTCTGCACATGCATGAATGATGGCACTGGGCATCTTTGATAGATATAAGTGTTTGATTATATAAAAAATTCAAATGTGACAGCTGACTTCACCACAGCAAACATGGAGAGGAATAGTATGAGGTAAAGCTGAAAAGGTCAGGGAGTCTTCAGGCTGCAGAAGGCCTTGAGTTAGTCTAAGAAGTTAGGACTTTATTTAGAGGGTGATAGGGAACTACTAAAGTATTTTAAGCAGAAGAAGAATATGATACTTGGGCTGGATGTAATAATGATAATGGCTGACAGTGATGAGGAGGCCATCCTGCTCAGCTCTCACTGTATTTCTGTTCTTCCCTCTCTCCCAAAGTAGACTAATTGTTGGACTATGAAGAATGGAACAAAAATGATGAACAGAGTACAGAAATTCAAGATAAGTAAAGTATGGGAAGATAGTGTCTATCTAGTTACCTTCAGTGTTTTCAAGTCACCAGGATGAGAGAAAAAGTATCCTAGGTTATTGAAAGAAACAGCAAAGGTAATTGCTGGACTGATGTCAATCTCTGAAAGATAATGGAGGAAAAAGTGTTGCTGGACTGGTGAAGAGCAAATATTCCAATTTTTAAAAAAAGAATGAAATTTAAACATTCTAAGTCAGTAAGCTTGATTTCCATTTTAGGCAAAATTCTAGAACACGTTATTAAGGGGATAGTTGGTGAGAATTTAGAAAGGGAAGTAGAGATCCCTGAAATCTATCATGGCTTAATTGAGAACAGACCATACTGAATTAACCACATTACCTTTTTTTGATAGATAAATGTATTAGGCAAATGCTAGTAACATAATATAGTTTGGTTTTTAGCAAAATTTGTTATGCTACTCTTAGAAATGAGATGGAAATGTACTAGTATAGTCAGAAGGATTCAGAACTGGCTGAATACCAGGTCCAAAGAGCATTTTGGCAGAGGTTTCAAGCGCAGTACCCTGGGGATATGTCCTTGGTCCTAGTCAATATTTTAAATCAATGGGGCAGCTGGTGGTGGTGCAGGAGATAGAGTGCTCACTCTGGAGTCAGTAAGACCAGAGTTCAAATACCGTCTAAAACGCTTACTAGCTGTGTGACCCTGAACAAGTAGCTTAACTTTTGTTTGCTGCAGTTTCCCCATCTGTAAAATGGAGCTATTAATAGCACCTACCTTCCAGGGTTGTTGTGAGGATTAAATGAGATAATAATTATAAAGTGCTTGGCATTATGCATGGCACATAATCAGAGCTATAGAAATGTTTACCTACGATAGCATTTCTTATTATTGCTATTATTATAGGAGGCACGCATATCAAATTTGTAAATGTAACATGAAGCTGATAGGAATAGCTAACACAATGGATGCCAGAGTTAGGATTTTTAAAATGCCAATTAAAATAATGTGCATAATCCAATAAGATTAAATTTTATAGGGATAAATGTCAAGTTTTATAGTTGAATTTTTAAAAAAATTTACTTCACAAGTACAGAAAGAATGAGGTATGGGTACTTAATAGCTTATATATATATATATATATATATATATATATATATATTTTAAAGTCTGAGGGTTTTAGCGGACTATAAGTTTGATGTAAGTCAACTGCGTGACTTTGTAGCCAAATAAATAAATAAAAGCTAATGTTACACTGCTGTATTAATAGAGGAAGAGTGTCCAGAAAGAGAATTGATATTTCTGCTGTACTCTATCCTGATCATACCACATCTGCGGAACTTTGTTCCCTTTCAGATGCCACATTACACGAAGGCCATAAACAAGCTGAAGTCCATTCAGAATGGGGTAAATGGGATGATGAGAGGGCTGCAGACCATACCACAAATGGTCATTTGAAGATAATGAGCAGGTTTAGCCTGGGTAAATGATTTAGGGGGGATATCAAATGTCTGAAGGACTCTAACATGGAAGAGAGATTAGATTTGTCCTACTCAGCATCTGAGGGCAGAAAGAATTAAGAGCAGTGGCTTAAGTTGCAAAGAATTAGATTTAGGCTTGATGCAGAGAAAAAAGAGAAAAAAAATACTTCCTAACAATTAGTCTAAAAGTGGAATAAGATCTTTTGAGATAGTGAATCTCCTCTTGTGGAAGATTGCAAATAAAAGACTAGTGAGGTCTCTTCTAAATCTGAGATTATCTGAGTTTGTAATCAGATCTTTGTTCTTTTTTTAAAGAGTAAAATGGTAACTAAATCCATAATAAAATTTTTGCCAGATTGGCTGGAATATTTCTCCTCTAAGCATCTTCACCTCCATATGGAATCTCTCTCTCTCTCTCTCTCTCTCTCTCTCTCTCTCTCTGTCTCTGTCTCTGTCTCTCTCTCTTCCCCCCCAACTCAATTTTTATTTATGTAAATAGGCAAGAAATGAGTGTTTTCAGTATTTCATAATGTAATTAATTATTCTTTATGGAAGGCATTATAAATATGAGATGTGAGAATATTTTCTACTGTTAAAGAGAAATTTTACTTAAATTACTTTATAGGCAGTGGGTGCATATGGAAAGAAAAATGGATTTGGAGTCAGAAGACTTTAGTTGGAATCCTGGATCTGCTACTTACTAGCTATGTGACCTTGGGCAGATTGCTTAACCTTTGTGGTCTTCTGTACCTAGTCAGAGAGCAAATTAGGCTTTCTCTAAGATCTTTCCAGATCTAAGTAAGGGATCCAGTGAACTGCTATTGTGTACATAGTTGGACAATGAAAAATTATCTTTGTGAGACTGTCATTATTCTCTTTCCCTCACTTACAAACAAAAATTAATCTTCCCCATCTCCCTTCTTGTTACTAGGCTATAAGCATACTCTATCCAAAAATACTTACTACTAGGCACAAGAAAGAGGAATCACCCAGTGGTGTGAAGGATGGATTGGCAGAGGAAGAGTCCAGAGGTAGAGAAAGGATAGTTAGGAGGATGATTTGCAGACACAGTTGGGTGGGAATGATGACCTGCACTAGGCTTGTGACAATAGGAATGAAAGGCAGGAACAGAGAGAGGGGGAATATATTTCATAGGATCACAGATTTAGAGCTGGAAGGGACTTCAAAAAACACACACATCTTCATTTTACATATGAAGAAACTGAGGCCCAAGGAGAGTAAATACCTTGTCCAAAGTCACAATGGATAGTAAGCATTAAAGCTTCTGAACTCAGGTCCCTTGATTCCGGAACCTATACTTTTCCATCTGTACCATGATGCTGATTGTATATAGCAAAAGGAAGGCAAAGGAAAAGTCAACAAACACCAGTCTAAAGAATGAATGGCTGGGTAAATGGTGATGACAAGGAAAGAAATGAGAAAGTCCAAAGAAGTACTGGGCTTAAGAGAAAGATGACAAGTTCTCCTTTGTCATTTCCGTTTGAAGTCCTGCCAAGAAATCTAGGTAAAGATGACTAATCAGTGATTAGAAATCTGAATCAGTTCAGCAGAGAGGTGGGGGTGGTGGTGAAAGAGATTTGGGAGTCATCTGAGTGGAGGTGATAGTTTAAGTTGTGAGAGTGGATGACATTGAGAGAGAAACTGAGAAAACCTTGAGGGATAAGGAAGAGGATTAAGGGAAGGAGTAGTCACAGAGGTAAGAACATCATTAGGAAAATATGGTGTGACAAAAGCCAAGAGACAAAAAAAGCATCAAGGGTCAGCAATGTTAAATGTTCCATAAAGGTCAAGGAAAATGAGGTCTGAGAAAAGGCCATTGGATTTAATGATTATGAGGTCATCAGTGACCTTTGAAAGAGCAGTTTCAATAGAACAATGGGGATGGAAACTAGATGGAAATGGATGGAAAAACATTGTGTGTAGGCTTTTTCTCATGAAGTTTGGTAGTGAAAGGAAAAAGGGAAGTGGGCTTATATCTGAATGGGAGATAACTATACTCCATCTAGGCTACAGCTACAGGCCCGATAGTTGATTGAGAAGAACTAAGCAGATTTGTAGGCAGATGGTCAAAAGCAATTGGAGAGGGAGAGAGTGAAGATGCATGAGAGAAAGGGGTTAATTGATGAAACAAAGTTTTGGAGAATACATAGAAGCCTGAATCTGTGACAAGTAGCAGGGCCGGATCTTCCATTTAGATGAGAAGAAAAGAGGAGAGAGAGAGTAAATTACACTGAGATATTTGTGATGATAGGAAATTGAAAAAAATCATGGCCTTAATTTTAGTAGAAGGAAAAGTCATTTTCTGTGAGGACAATGGCTGGAAGAGGAAGTACAAAAGAGAGTAATAGGTGGTGAAATTTGGGACACAAATGTAAAAAATGTCTAAAAATCCCCACCTGGATATTCATAAATCTAATGAATAAATCCCAATTTATTTGTTCTACACTTGTCATTTTTGCTGTGGGTTCAGAGGCTACGCATCAAAACTGAATTGTGCTTGAAGTGACTTTCTTTGCAGAGTGTATGTTGAAAATCAGGGAGTAATGGAGAGACATTAAAATATGGCTCCTGAACATTTCAACAAGGTACAAAGCTTCCTGGGTAAGTCCTAGGAATATCACCACTTCTAATACAACAAGATGTCTTTTCAGGCTAATATGATCTAGGGGAATAGGTCAGGCATTTGGGGGAGAGGAGGGTGAAGAACAGATTCTGGCATGCAGGACTCAAGGAATTATCCTCGTGGCATATTTATAAGACTAATTTTACCTTCATGCATTTTACTTGACAGCAGAATATTGCAATTATGTTAATTTGAAGCTCCCATTTTATTCACAGAAGGAATCTTACTTTGAAAATGGGAGACAATTAACCAAGTTCAAGGTAGGCTACACTTACGTATTTCCATTTTCCAAACATAAGGGTCTGAGGTACTTCGAGACGGCAAGGCATAACAATAGTATCTCCATATACTGAATTTACAGTATACAATCCAAGGCCTATGGAGAAAAAAGAAAGAAAAGAATGTTTAAGTATTATCTTAAAGCAGCAAGGTAAATTAATTAAGCCTGGCTCAAGATGAGAAAGAAGCATGTGTTTGTAAAGTTGGTTGTCTTCCATTACTGTAATTATTTATCCTAAATGGTGTTACAAGGCACTAAACATACTTGTTATTCAAATCATAATAGCTTTTCTTCACCAATTAACCCTTTGGATACTATACAGCATAAATAAAGGGCAAGGAACTGGACCTGTGATTTGACTGGCATGGGAACTCTCAGATGAAGAAATTCCCTCAAACATTGCAGGTTGACAACTTCTCTGACAATGTCTCTGAAACTTATGGAATTGCCTTGAACATTGATGCCTTAAGTGACTTGACCAAGATCACACCAGTAATAGGTGTCAGGGGTTCAATTTGAACCCTGGTTTTCCTTGCTTCAAGACTGGCTCTTTATCCACCATGTACACTGCCTCTCCAAGGCATAGTTCAAATACACAGGGCCTAAATCTGTCCTCTGGATACACAAATACTGCTCTAAAGGAAAAGAATATGAAATGCATATTCTGAGGATAGACTGGCTCCCTTAGCTAAACTTCACTAACACATTAAATCATAAACTGACCCTAAATAATGTTTGTTTTTCTCATTTGAAAACTGCCTTGTCCATCAATAAGCAAATTCTGAAAACAAGAATCGCCACTATAATTTAAAAAATGAGGTAGTCATAATGACTGTGATATCAACTGACTTTATATACTGTTTTTTTAAATTCATAAGTATTTGCTTTATTTTTAATAGCAATTTTTTAAAAGTAGTAACATTTTCTCCACTAAAGTTAACATTGGAAATGCAGATCCTGTATGTAACCTGATGTACTCTTTGCCTTTACTAATTTAAGTAATGGTCAGACAAAATTTCCACACAATTTACTGAAAAAATGCATGCTGCTCATTTTGTTAGCTTTTTCTACAGTCAGGATTTGCAAATCCATTGAATAATGAACACAGATCATTATTTTGCTCACTTAGTTATTATCATAGTGTTGGAAGGACCTCCAGAATCACCTATCTGAAATACAAATCCCCTTTACATTTCCAAATTCACTACTGAGCCTCTGCTTAAAATTTCTAATGAAGGGAACTCACTATCTCCCAAGATATACCAACTTTTGAATACCTCTGTCAAGCAGTTTTTCCTTATGATGAGCCAAAATTGACCTAAAAAGCTTTTGAAATGCTTTTGTATTTGCTATCTCATTTAAGACCCCACAAACTCTGTGAGGTAGGCACTCTGAGAATCAGAAAGTTTAAGGGACAGTGGTTGCAAAGTTATTAAATGGCTGAGGCAAAATCAAATCCAGGTTTCCTGACTCAAAGTCCCCCACTCTATCTACTTCCTGCACAAGGAGGCCTCTCAACACGAATTGTAGCACTGTTTTAAGATTTATAAAGCACTTCTTTAAAATTAATGGTTAAAATTTATTTTAGGGGAGTGTTTGTAAACTTTAAAACGGTATTTATAGAGTTTTACATATATGTGTATGTGTGTGTGTGTGTGTGTGTGTGTGTGACCATTTTAACAGATGGGAAAACTGAGGTTTAAGTGATTTGCGTATGAAGAACCAAGACTCAAACTCAGTCTAGTGTTCTTTCCACAGAACTGCCCACTTACTTAATTCATAATAAACTGACTTTTCATTCACCATATGAATATTAATGAAAGGGAAAAAATATCCATATTATTTAGGGCACTAACATTGGGATAGTTTAGATTTAAATTCTAGTCTTAATTAAAATAAATAATAAGGGTGGATTAGGGATTTTATTATATAAATATACTATTTGAGATGTATGATATCATGAAGAGATTTTCCAAAATTTCTTTCAAAAGTTCTAACTCTAAAACTCCAACCATAATTTGCTACCAATAAACAGAAATTCCTTGGCTTGCATTAATCACTAGGAAAAATGAAAAATGAATCATGTAAAGAATGAGATATTATATATAATATGTATTATATTGTTATATCATTAATATTACATATCATATATACAGATATTTATATCTATGTTATATACTATTAAAATATGAACGCAAGTAGCTATTATTTTAAACAGTGCGGTATACAATATCATGACAATATAGAAGGTTAAATTCTCTAACTTTGCTAATTTTCCATTTGGCTGAAAAGATCTTTGAAATTTCGGTAGATACACAGAAGATCAATACTTAGTGGCTGTTGGAAATACGTTTAATTGGTTTTAGAGTTTGATTAACATCAATTGTTTCCAAAACCAGGAAAAAAATAAATAGAAGACATTTAATCCACCAGGTGGTGCTGAAGAAACACAGAGTTAAAATGACCTAAACTCTTCCTCACTAAAATAGCTTTACATTTTGCTGATGTCTACAGGGGTGTGGTGGGAACCTCATCTTAACCAATGCATTACAAACATCAAAACCTCATTATAAATAAAATCTGGATGGAGAGGAATGAAAAACTTTCAAAGCAAAATCATAATTAAAGTAATAATTCAAATGTTTGTCACCTGGCCACATTGTTCCTTTAAGCATTTCCCCCTCTTCCCCAAAACAATAGATAAACATATATTCTTATGTAAATGTATATACATATAAATGATGAATATTTTATGTAAACAAGCAGGAAGTAATTGGATTTACAGAATTTCAAATGGTACTCAGCTATAGACTGAGAAGAGATTTGAACCTGTTATAAATAGGTTTTACTTGAATCACTGTTATAATGCTCAGACTCACAATGAAAAATTATCTTGGTAAGGCTTGCTTTGTTCTCTTTTTCCTTAATAGACAAAAAGTTAAACCCCCTGAACGTTGCTAAGGTAACAAGCCTAACCCACCCAAAAAGCTATACCATCTAAAACCTTGTTAAAAAAAAAAAAGTAAAAGAAGAAATGCATGTTTAACATGGTTGCCCCTGTTAAAATGAAAGCTGAGGGGTTTTAGAACTACCCACGGAGGAATAGGAATCAATGTTAGCCCAGAGGATGGTGTATTTTGTCTTGCCTCAGAACTTGTGGTTTTTAGAAACCTTTGGTTCAGAAAAGCACTGTTATTGCTGTACTATGCAAGAAATGATTGTATACAGGGACATTAGAGATTAGTCAAATTAGGAAAAACTACTCTACTACAGAAAGATTAAACCACCCACCCTATGTTATACACCTAGTTAGTGGCTAAACTGGGACTGCAGTTCAGGCCTCCTAACTCTCTCCTTCCAGTACTCTTTCCACTATACCACAGCATTCTTAAAAACATAATAGAACAAAAACAAAAGAAATTTTAAAAAGGATGCCCTCTTTCACATTAGTTATTTGGATTTTTTTTCTTTCCATGATTATTTGGCATGTATGCGACATTTCTGAATTTTTAAAAAACGGTTCCAGCAAGGTGGCTTATCACCTCAGAAGAGCAACCAATGTGCTAAATAGAGTAGATAAGCAACACAGAAAAAAAATGAAGAAAGGAGGGAGGAAAACTCACAGGGGAAAAAAAAGGCTTGCAGGAAAATTGAAAGAGATTGAAGAAATAAACAAGAAAAGAGGTCCACATACAATAGAATCTTAGCATACTAGTTCAAGAGCTAGAAGGGACATCAGAGTCTAACGTAGTCCAACCGTCATTTTACAGAGGAATAAATTCTATAAGCTAAAGGAAAACAAGGAGAAATTGCCAAAAGGAGTGAGGCACAAGGAAACCCAACAAGACAGTAATGACAGGCACCAAGTATCCCCTCTCCTCTTCCCTGCAGAGAAAATGGACCTATTGCAAAAATCTCTGGAGTAGTAGCTCAGAAACGTAATAAAAGTTTCTTAGGAAGGTTTGGTCTCAATAGGGATAGAAATAAGATCTTCAAAAAGATTGAAGTACGTTGAAAGAAAAGTGTTGCACAAGGCAAGCATGAAAATTCAAAGCTTAAAAAAGATGGCACAAGACGTTAATCTAGAATGGATTCCTTGCAGACTTGAATGGCATGGGCAGAACAGTAGAATTCAGCAGAAATAATTCCATTTCATTCAACAAACATTAAATTCCTACTATGAGCAAGGCAATGTTCAAGGTGTCAGAGGTACAAAGACAAAGCGGAAACATTTCTTGTCCTCTAACATCTTATGTTCTAAAAAGAAAAGTAAAAAAAAAAATGTTCGTTTCCACTTCTATCTTAATGAAAGTACCAAATACCTTGTTTACTTTGCTCCCCACTTGCAAACATAGATTGACATTTATGCAATGAGGAAGCCAAGATATCCATTTCCCTTGGGAATTTCCTATTCACACCACTGTTAAATACTATACTTTGAATCTATAATGTCTTGAATATTGTATACCTTTTCCATCATAAGTATTTAGATTTTGCTTTAGGTTATATTCCATTCTTTTTTTTTTTTTTTCAGGCAATTGGGGTTAAGTGATTTGCCCGGGGTCACACAGCTAGTAAGTGTCAAGTGTTTGGTCTGAGACCGGATTTGAACTCAGGTCCTCCTGACTTCAGGGCCAATGCTCTATCCACTGCGCCACCTAGCTGCCCCTACATTCCATTCTTAATAAAAGCAAACAAGTCCTTGGATCACTGAAAAGTTACTAGCAATTCACATCATTTTCCCTTCAAGGAAACTTGGGGGATTTAAAAGCCAGGAACTGTGTTATGAGTGTACTGCTACGGTATTCCTTTTCTTCCACTTGTGCTGACCAGAGGAGAAAAGATTTACAATAATCAAAACCTACTATGTGTGTGTGTGTCTGTGTGTGTGTAGTGGGATTAGACTGGAGTATACTTCATGGAGTAATGAGCCTTCACTGACCACTTCCAGGGAAACAGCTCCACATGAAAAATCTAGGCACTTAAGTATGACGAAGAAATCACCTTACTGGCCACTAGCAAGAAGAACCAATGACTCAGTGAATCTTGAAAAGGGAGTGACCCTCCTTTGTTCTCTCTGGTCTGCCTGTTTGAAG